GCGGACCGGTTTGGACGTATTTTGTGATTTATAGATGAATATTTTTAATGGCGACTTTCAAGGAATTATTTGGCAACGCTGCAAGCTGTGCGCTCATGTCACATTTCAGTTCATCACGTACGGTTTATTATCAACTATTTATTATGTTTTAAAAAAAAAAATAATCCAAAAATATATAGGGGAGACCGGGGTTAAACCGACAACGGGGCAAACTTGACACTAGGCTTTTTGCCAATTTAAATATATCGTAGAAACTTGTCTTTCCTACTGTAAAGGCGTCTTTATGTGCCAGTATTATCAACGAAATTTGGTAACATTCTGAGTTATAGTGTAATTTTTAACACGACATAAGCGTTTTTGATAGTAAAAAGTAAATTTTCTGATCTCTCGAAAATGTCTACTCTTTCATCGAGCTTTACTCTTGCGAATCTACCGGTAAGTGATTTTGATAGGAAATTCGATGCTTTATACGAATCCGATAATAATTTTTGCATATTTTCAAAATTTTTATGTTTTGGGAGTAACAAAAGTAAAAAACGACGTTCGGGGCAAAGTCGACAGGGGCTAAGTCGACACGCTGTTTTATTGGTTCCCAATAATAAACGATGCTTGTAATGCAGCATATGGCCCATGACAAATGTGTGCGCACGTGTAATCGCGAATTTACTTGCATAAATTGTTTTTCAGACATGAGTTCAGATGAAAATAATTGAATGTTCAACAATTTTTGTTCTCATTATTTCCAATGATTGTTTTACTTAATTCCAAATTTTTGTACTTTCTAAATACACGATAAACAAATGTATATTTAGTTTCAGACAATAAAAAATAAGTTCCAGATCAAATTCTGTCGATCAGGCAAAGTGTCGAGTTTACCCCGGCATTTTTCAATTTGAAAATTTGTCTTCGCGTCACTTTTCCTTTCCTGGCGGCAAAACAAAGCGACGTACAGCAAAACTTCCTGAATCAATTTTGTACCTGAAGAAACACTCTTTAAATATATACCATTGAATTTGCCTAAAAATTTTAATTAAATATTAAAAATTGCCTTTGAAAAAATAGTGTCGGCTTAGCCCCGGTCTCCCCTATCGCATAAAAAATATAAATAAAATATATAAATATAAACAAAAATACAAATATAAAAATATAAATATAAAGATAAAAATGAATATATAAATATAAAAATATAAATCAAAATTTTAATTTAAAAAATATTAACAGTTAGGTAAAACATAGATACGCATAAATAATTTATTTTACATAACAGGTTATAGTTTATATTTCTTATCAATCATTATTGTTATAAAATCTCTCTTTGATAAAAAGAAAATGTCACAATATTCTTTGATTAATGAAATTGACACTTACATTGACACTTTTGTTATCAACTTCACATTTTACAATCGGCGCCCTGAAAAGTGCAGCGTTGCCATATTGTTCTGACAGTAAAATTTACCAAAAAATGAAAAATTTCTAAATACGCATAATATTTTCACTTTTTTCTTATAATTAAACATAATAATCAATTATAACGTAATTTTATATAAGTTTAATGCAATATACAAGAGTTTGCTGAGGCTCTGCTTAAGCGCCTACAAAATACGCTCCTCCGTGAAAGGAATACCTTAATTTATCGATTAATTGTTATATATGTATATGGGATTTCATAACCATTTTTTTCATCTTAAATGACAGTTGATACACCTTGTAAAACAAAGGATGAAATGATGTCGAAGGATGAAAGCGACAGTATTCCATTATTGGAGTTAGATGATATTAGTCCTATTAAATTGAACACAAATACCGACGAAAATAAACAGCCAAGTCCATCGATGCTCTTTACAAAAATTACACCATCTCTAAAGAAGGGACTGATGATGAGACAATCTCGACTTGCATCTTATACAGTCGAGAATAATGAAAAGATGATGTCCTCAAGAATAGATAAACATAAGGCAGGTAATATATTGCAAAGTGATGAAGATGAAGTGATAGAAGCCAGTCCTATGCAAAGATGTGTTGCATCTAAAGTAAAAAATTGTTTAAAACTCAAGAGAAAAATTCCTGTAAAACGTTTGGATTTTTCATTATGTCAAATGGAAAATAAATTAAAAGATAAAGTTGACATAAATTCTAAGAAAGGACATCTAAGAAAGGACATTTCAGAGCATCAGCTTAACATGCGATGTAAAGCTGACAGAGCAAAATTAAACGGCTGGGATTGCTGGGAATGCAGAGAAGTAAGAACAATATTAACAATATAGTTATGGGATATAAATAAATAAATAAAAATAAATAAATAAATATGGGGCGGCGGTGTGGTCTAGTGGTAGAGCGCCAGACTCGTAATCTGAGGAACCAGGTTCGAGTCCACTAGAGCCATGAATCATGGAAAAGTTTTTTTCCGAAAAAACCGCGCCCCTCCGTGCAGATGCGGAAAAAACTGGGCTCCGTCTTTCGGAAGAGACGTTAAACCGTTGGTCCAAAGGAGGAAACAGTAAGGTAGTGGATGAATTGGAGGTTAGGGTTGGGTACGTCCCTTCAAAACGCCCTTTATGGCCCCTTGGGGTATATAAAGTAAAATTCTTTATCCTTTTTAAATAAATAAATATAAATAAAAAATATAAATATAAATAAAATAAATATAAATATAAATAAAATAAATA